TGCAGTGTACAGTTGGCCGTGTGCAAATACAGGAGTTCTCTGATCAATCACGGGTTTGTCCAGGGTGAGGCCGACACAGCCATTGAACGTGCAAGTATATGCCAATCATAGGAGGTACTGAAGGTGTTCGATCCAAGCAAACAACAGATGAAGAGTAGGAGATTGTTTGACCATTGTCAGTGCGTTCACCAGCAGAGAGCAAGCCAATGATGATGAATAAAGACATGAGAGAGAGAATGGAAAAGATGGGGTGGATAGGACGCAGGACGCATGTGGTTTTAGGAGGCACAGTGAGCGGAAGTTGGAAAACTGGTGAGTTTGAAATGGTGGATAACGGGTATTAGAGCGGGACAGTGGAGTGGGAGGAGACGGGTGCAAACTGTGGGGTTTGAAATTGACAGAAATCAGAAATCAGAAAGTTGAAGGACAAGCGAGGTGAAAAAAGATGTGGCGCCAGATGAAGAAAGAGGGAGAAACAGAGGTTGCAGATGGCAAGACGGTGAGAGTACAGCGAGAGAATTGAAGAAAGAAATGCAGAGTGTGTTGACAAAGATGTTTGGGGAACATTCAGTCGATTTGGAAACGGAAAGGTTGGAGAAGTCAGCTTGAAAGATTGGGAATGGCGCGTCGGAAGACCGAAGGCAGACAATCGCGCAATCACACGTGGGTGGATGGCCAGCACATTCCCATTCTCGGACAACCCGAGCTCGACTGTAACATTATACAATGTAGATGTAGACAGTATGTTGTATATCGACCCGTAACGCATTATATCATTCATTCTACGTCCACAAGAGGGGGCACCGCAGCACCAGCCGCGGTCTCATTCTCAATCTCCTCCTCTTCCTCCTCCTGCCGCACGAACCGACGAAGAGCCCCCAGGAGCGGAGCACGGTCCCTCGCCGTATCAAACACCATCGCATGGTCCAGCTCAGGGAAATATAGCACTTCGAGTCCATTTTGCGCCCAGCGACTAGGCGGCCATCTCGCCCCTTCTTCACCACCAGCATTTCCCTGCACTTCCTCCTCAGGATCCTTGCTTCCGGTAAGATACGCACGCACAGCACGCGCATCGACGATCTGGTCGCGACCTGCAAGGCTCACCGTAACAGGCATTGGTCTCCGCCTCTGCTGCATCTTCCTCCCCTGCTCCCCTGCTTCTGCTTCTGCTTCTGCTGTATATCCGCCCCCACTTGTGGCCCCGAGGACGTCCTCGCGGAAAAGGATACACTCGTGCCAGAAAAAGTGTCGTAAGAGCGCACGGGCCGTATCTGCGTCACGACTCGAAAAATACCACAGTCCCCATTCGTTCGCGTGGCGAGGTTGGCGGTAGACAAAGTTGTATGGCATTGCCGGGTAATGAAGAAGGAACGGGACCGGGTCCATAAGAAGTACTGCTGCAATTAGATCGCTGCGACTACGGTCGTCGAGGGTCACGGTCACACGATGTTGATTTGTTGATTCCTGCATAAGTTGTGTATGGCGTGGAGTTTGGGTAGCGAGAGGATTCAATGGCGGGTCCACGGAAGCCCATTGTCTGCGTAGGAGGTGAGCCGAAATGACCGTGCCGTAGGAATGCCCAGCCAAGACGACCCGGCTCAGGCCATGAGCGTTCAAAATCCGTGTGATACCAGCGCACATCGCATCACGTACTAGGGGTGGCGCGGTAATGTGCATAGAAATGGGCAAAATCTCAACGGCGAGGATACCGACATCCGGATCCTGCGCGGCTAACTCCCGGAGAAACGGGACGTACGGTAAGAGGCCAATGCCAATCCCGTGGATGAATAGGATAGGGAGTTTCGTGGACGAGCGGTGCGGTCGGTACCAATAGGGTATGTTGGTTTCTGTGTCCCTGGAGACGTGCGAGAACAGTGCAAGGAGAGGGCGTGGGGGAAATACGTGAAGCCATTTGCGGGTATTATAGTGTGTGAAGCCTTGAATATAGAGCGCGATAGCAGCGAGGGTATCGACAAAGCAGACGATCTGTCGCAAGATTTAGTGAAGGTGGGGTTTTTGTACACACAAGGGAAAACGCACCATGTACCAAACAAAGGGCCGATGCACCGTACGCACAGAGTCCATAGTGAGACGGAGACATTGCACCTCGGGATTGCTCCCGGGTCTAAGAGGGTATCCGACATGTTCTCGCATGACAGTTATATAGTAGTCGAGCTCATCTTCCCACTCTGGATGAGCATCGCTACTACGAACTGAGAAGAGAGCCCAGAGGAGCCAGTCTACGACATTGTCACGCCAGATCTGCTGGTTATGAGAACGAAGGAACCATCCGGTGATCGATTCTGAGGTCATGGTGTCGGCACATTTATGGAAGAGCGCCTCGCGTTCAGCGCGAGACATGCGCGGCGGGTGCCTAGCATCCTGATGTAGTGTAGCGATGAGTGGGTTTGCGGGTAAAAGTAGCTTCGGCAGAAACTTACTTGTTGTAGATAAAAACTTCGAGGCAAATACACGAACAAGAAGAATGCAGCCTCGACCACTGCATAGACCCCAAGAAATGGAGACCAAAGAAAGGCGGAAGCACGGCATGAGACGGCGAGATAGATGATCGAGAGTGGCGCGACGAGACGGAGAGAGAAGATGGCGATTCGAATAAACACGTAGTCTAGCCAGCTACGACCGATCATTCTCGTTAGGAAAGTTCGTCGCCAGGGAGTACGAAGGTGATTGAGAGGGTGTAGGTCATGTGAAAAAGTGCGTCTTATTATTGGGACGCGAAGGAGAAGGCGCAGCAAGACACGTTTCCAGTCAGCAGACCATCAGAAGGCCTCGCGCGGCGCAATGATGACTAATCGACTATTTCTTTGTTTGTCCAGACCAAACATGCTTCTGTGTCTGTTCACACCCACCCTCTTCATCATATGGCTAAAAAAAAGAATAAGCAGGCAAGTCGGCCTTTTTTCTATTCACCTCTACTTATCCAATTCCATACAGGTTCTCCGGCCCTGGTGCTGGTATTGCGAGCGTGAGTTTGAGGATGAAAAAGGTTCGTTCGGTCCTCTGTCATCAGCCCTACATGCTCATATCAAAGCCTTGTTCAGTTCTAATGCAGCACCAGAAGGCCAAGCATTTTAAATGTGGCATGTGTCCTCGCCGTCTTAACACAGCTGGTGGTCTTGCAGTTCACATACAACAGGTCCACAAGCTCGAACCAGAAAAGTACGTTTTTTGCCCTCTCCTGTAATCGCCGTCTTATCGCCCCCGCCTAGCCTCCCTCGCATTGAGAATGCGCTCCCGGGTCGTGATGGGTACGAGGTTGAGATATTCGGTATGGAAGGTATACCGCCCCAGATGTCGCAGACTATAAGCGCCGCAAGGAAATCGAGCTTGGCCTCACCGCAGGTTCTATTACTCAGCCACAAGCCAAACGGCCAAAGACAGAGAATCGACCACTTTCAGAGGAGGAACTACGTGCCCAACTCGAAGCGCACAAGGCCCTCATGGGAGCACATGAAACCCCCGCACCTGCGCCCTCCGATACAAATCAGAGTGCCGTGTATGCAGCCACACCGCAGACATATGTCGCTCCCCCAGCACCGGCCCCTCCGGTTTCTGTTCCTCCTGTTCCAGTGGTCCCCCCAGGTGCGCCCCCCGCCTTCCCCGGCATCCCACCGCCTCCGGGCGTTTTCCCAGGAGCACCTCCCTTCCCGCCGCAGCTCCCTGGCATGCCCGGCATGCCTCCTGGGTATGTCATTTACAACCTGATCTTATTCATACTCTGTATGTTAACCTCACTTCAGGCCTACGCCCCCCGGTTTCCCCATCCCTCCAGGTTTTCCCCCTCCTCCAGGTATGATGCCACCTTTCCCACGGCCGCCTGGTATGCTTCCTCCATTCCCTCCGCCTGGTGTAACACCGCCATTCCCTCCTCCCTCCATGACCCCCCCTGTGATCGCCGATTCGACACCTGTTCCACCTTCGTCATCTGTCACTCCAGCCCCCGTACTAGCCCAGCCCCTGGCGCCGCCCCCGCTTTCGTTGCCAGATCCTTCGCTCGCACAGACGAACCCAGAATTAAAGAAGAAGACGGTGCTCAAGTACTCGGAGCCAAATTTTTCCCCTGTAAGTTCCAACGTTTTGTTTTTTTCTAGACTAACGTCTATTGATTACACCAACGAAAGGATGAAGTTCGCGCACGGCACCCGAAATATTACTTTGCTAAGGACATGCTTGTGTCTGCTCCTGAGGGAATAACTGATGCTGCGCTTGCGCAGGACGCGCCCGAGGTTGGGGCAATTGCTATTGCTCCAGAAGAGGCGCGTGGGAAAAAGCGGGCACGCGCAGAGGATTTCTTGTAATTCACTAGAGGGTGTCGAAGAAGGCTGGGAGGTGAAGAAAGGGGAGGGTTGAAGGAGGCGGAGGCCTACCAGTCCGTCCTCTCTGCCCGTGCTCTTGTGCTAGCCGATGTCATTGCTCATCTCATTCTACTCGAGGCTGCGAAACTCTAGAGATGGTGTAGAAGGTCATCCACGGTGTTCAACGCTGGTGCGGGCTTTTTTTTTGCTTCCTTTTTCTTTTTCTTTTCCTCCTTTCCCCCTTTGGGTCCTGTGATGTGTCTTTCGAAATATGTACGGTCGGTCCCTCGTTTTTCCCTACATGTGCTTATGTCCTGCCGAACGAATAATCGACAAGGTTCGTGGTGATATGGAATGCTAGTAGTCTGACATGACGTCGCATATTCCCTGGGTTATAGCTATGGCGAGTTCGAATGTGCGATGCAGGTGATGATAATTCTGTCTTTATGTTTGCAAGTCATGGCGTATCGAGCTTGTCACAACAATGATGCAGATGTGGAAAATCTGACCGAGTGCGTGGCTACTGCTGCTGCGTTGACGCATAGAGCTGAGGTGCTTGCGATTATGCATGTAGATAAGCGGGTCGTTGGACCCACTGCCCATTCTGGATTCTTAAGCTGTAGGGGAGTTGACCAGAGTGGGACGAACGTTGGTTATCTTGTTAACTTATGCCGGCCTTCAAGCGGTTCGATGGTGTAGTTGGTTATCACATCTGTCTAACACACAGAAGGTCTCCGGTTCAAACCTGGGTTGAGCCAGCCTTTTTTTCCCCCGCCCGAATTGACTGGAAGAATTAACAATACTGTACTGCTTCCTCACGTCTTCTGTGTATTATCCGATCCAACATAGGGCCTGGCCTGGTACAGCACGTCTGGGAACCTTCCTAGGCAAACCGGGGATCGACTCGCAAAAAGCCGCCGCTCTCTTGGCGGCACTGGCCGCCATATATATTCGGAAATAGCCGCATGGTTTTGTTGGCGCTCTGCCCAGAGGCCCGGGTGTGGTAGGTATGAGACCCATGCAAGGACCATCTGTGCAAGTGGCGTTTTTTCGTTTACTGTATTTCAAACTCGTAAGATTACCCCCGCCTATCGGGGGATATCATGGGCACGTGTGGGTCAACAAATTTGTTCTGTACTGTAGTGGGGGAGGGATCACGGATTCACAAGCGGATTCACGTCGGTTACGCCGCTACCCTCAATTCGCGCCGTATAATTCAAACGTTCGAATACAGTAGCCTATGCGCGGAGGGGGGTTATATTGAGCAAGGATCTTCACCTACTGAAATACTCTGAAGTACTGTACTGAAGTGCCAGGTATATCGCGTGCTTCACGCAAGCTGCGGCAAGCACCACAATTGAACAGATTTTAATCGCAATTTCTACACAAGGACAAGCGCAAAGCCGACAAGAGCCGCACCAGGGCCCGTCGGTCATCAGACGTGCCTGAGTGACGGATTCCCACCCTCAAATGTCAAATGCCACAGCGCCTTCACACTTATATGGCGTCTGTTGGCTCACCTCACCGTACCTAGTTAGACGTACGTCTGGCAACAGGTCCAGATATATCTCGTTCCATCACAAGTGGATTATGATAACGAGAACAAGCTCTGCCAGGGGGGCAGTGGGGCCGCGAACTGAGCGCCAAATTTGCTTTTCCAAAGACATCGTTTCCAGACTAGACTTCTTTGCCAGATAACATGAGGTTAGAAGTACATCCGGCAACAGGGTCCACATATATCTCGTTCCCATCACAAGTGTTGATAACGAGAACAAGCTCTGCCAGGCAGTGGGGCCGCGAACTGAGCGCCAAATTTGCTTTTCCAAGACGTCGTTGCCAGCCTAGACTTCTTTCCCAGATAACTTGAGATAAGCAAAGGTTTGCGGAGAGCTACGAATACAGTATGCGCAGTGTCCGGCATCGTGCCATTGCCCCATAGGGGATATCCCATCTTTCTGAATCTGATTCTTTCATAGAATGACAGAACAAGCACCCACCCAGATTTCTGATGAACGTACGATGAACAAGCCTAAGATAACTTCTCAGGCCAAGTCTCAGGCACTAGACTTCTCAGGCGCTCGGGCATTGTGATTGACCCGTTACAGTGGGAGCGCTTACCGAAGAATGTCTTCTCCATCTGTCATGCCCCGTAATGCCGGTCACGAGGATTGATACAGTGCGTCTCCGGCTTCCCGCACTTCCCGCACTTGGCTGGTGCCCAGGAACAGCGCGGGCGTACTAGGCGGGCGTCAGGCGTCAGGATGCAACGCGCAGCTCCGACGGCGCAAATCCGCGGTCGATCGGACAGTGTACAGTACATACTGTACATGCTGTCATGCCACAAGGAACAGAACAGCCCCATCATCGATCATCGATCATCCCCATTCAGAGCCCGACTTGAAGCCAGTTTGGGAAACGACTCTGCATGATCAGGCAAGGAGATCTGCGCCGATATGTCATACACATGGAATGAGCGGCGAAGTAAACTGCACTGCAGCATGTGCATGTGCAGTATGATGCCCTGCCCGTTCCAAGGCTATAAAAGGTTGGTTCTACGATGGCCAAAATGATAGCCCAACTCAACCCCCTTTATAAACTTGAATCTCAGTGATACTAGTACACCCATTCTGATATAGTACGTACTTATAACTCTTGCAAATTCGTCACTCTCCATTTTGTTAGATGGACGCTTCACAACAGTACCACGACCCGCAGTCGTCCTACCGTCACCCAGTTCCCGGCCAGCTGCATGGTCATGCTGGCGTAGTGCGGGATGCTGAGGTAAGTGATTGGGATCGTGGTATTCCCCCATTCACGGACGCATATGCTCGGGCTGTTTTTTAGTTCCTAGTAGCGAATGCTGCTGGTAATCATCTGTCAGACGAGGACAGGGTAGATAGGTCCCCACCTGTCGAAAACACCACTACACAAGGTCAACCACAAGGCTTGCAATACTTCTACTACGATATGCCGATGATCCCCCTCCGCCACACGAGCATCGTAATCGTGGTATCAATAACTATGTTGGGGTTGCGCTGGATGTCCCCACCCAGGCACAGGCCGCCCCACCGGTCGCCGTGTGTACTTACATCACCTTTCCACATACAAACATCTAACTAGACACTTCGCCGGGGAAGGTTGACATATTTGACGAGCCAACTCGAAACGTTGCAGGGGGTCCTGCTCAAGCCTTCCTCTATGAACGGCCTCAGCAGGACCCCGTCCCCATAGGCTGACCAATGAAGTCCTCCGGCAGCTTGCGATCCTCTACTTGCGCGAGCCCAATTCACAAGTTGTTGTGATTCGTATGGAACCTGGGCATGTCCGTGGAGTCAGGGTGTTTATTACGCTTGATTTGGCTGACCTTTGAGGTTGCCATTTGTTGGACGTGGGCTTCGCCGTCACCGAGTAAAATGTTCTGAGGCTTTGAGCTATGCCATCTCGATGTACTATGTACCTACTTAACCTCTCATCCATGCATTCCTAGCTTTCAAGCTTGGTTTCGTCGGTTTATAACTAATTTGTTGGTTTCCCCGGCCTGCTTGTTCTACTGTGTTCGTTATCGCTAGACTTTCCCTTAAATAGCGACCACTCTGACAGTTTGGCGCTTCGTTGATCTGAGCGATGGAGGTTCGTCCAATTGGTTCATCGAATAAGAGCTGTCCAGATCGGTAACATTCTGGGAAGATACGACGAAAATTGTCAGCTGCAACTGAATTGCACCGCACATGCGATTACAACCCAAAACAAACTCCCACTGCGCAGTGGTCACACACGACATGTTGAAACAGGGCGTAAAGACGAACCAATGGCCATCCTGCCACCACGTTTTAGGCATATTAGCGTCCCTCCAGCGCCACTGCAACGGTGTCACCACAACCCATGGCGGGCTTGTTAATATGCAAGAAAAGTCTAGCCATTGGTTTAGTGGATGCAAGGACGAAAGATCCCTGAGAAGCTAAGCTGAGCAACAATTGGCAGAGAGAAATGGTCTCCCGTAAGTCGTGCTGTCGTACGCTTTAGGCCGTAAAATATTTGGATCATATACTATAGTCGCCAAAAATAATAAGCTATGGTGCAATCGTTGCAATTGGACGATACAGTTCCTCGTAAACCATTCCGCTACAGGGATCTTTGTTACGTGGCTGTGCTTGCAATGAACAAGCTTAATGACTCGGACATAAGCCATTTTGACGAAATCGAATCTGAGACAGAAACCAAATGCAGTACCCATTAATCCCTTTATTCGTTCATTTATAATAGGCGTACCTCTTGCGTATCTGGCGCCGCGGCGGCATTGTGACCTGGGCTGCTGCTGCAGGCAGCATTGACCAGCACGCATTCTGCCTCACCCATGGAACGGCGCTCTTCATCCTCTGACTACCACAGCTCGGGCGCAGGATGCGCAATGAAGTCCGCATATGCCCACAGGTCGTGTGGTGTAGGTGTTGCACATTGATCATCAGCCTGGACGCCACAAGCAGCAGCAGCCAGGTCGTCCATGGGAGTATGCAGGAGAGAAGGGGCCATGTGCGCGCGGTGCATGTGTGAGGGATCTGGAAAAGGGGGGCATACAACTAAAACCGGAAGGTTGTGTCCAGCATTGGGACAGGCGACGGAGGGAGCGAGGGGACCTTCTTTTGCGCTGTCATGCCAGTGGGGGGCACGGGCATCAACAGCCACGCTCTACCTTCTAGGTCCCCTTCAAGTGTTACTGCAACCTCACCCCCGCCACACCCGCGGCGCTGGCGGGGACTCTTGTCGCCTGTATCTCTTCCTGGAACTTGCCGTGTGGGCAGAATTGGCCGACTTCCACCTTTGGTATCAAAGGGGACGGGGCCACAAGGGTGTGAACAGAACACAACTAGGCGAGTTGCACATCCTGAGCTCGGAAGGGTTTTCTGTCGCCAAGAATATTGTACAACCCGAGGGAGCGAGGGCGTTGTAGCAGCCTTTTCGTGCGCACAACGAGAAGCTCCTGCTGAAGAACGGGGATCATGATGCCGATGGCATAAATGTTGTACGTTAATATTTTCCGTGGAAGCGCACAAGTTTTCACTTGAAATAGAGAGCGAGATGGGTTGAAACATCATGTTGGGGTGGTTCTCGAAGAGTATAACCCAAGCTTGAATAGCAATCATGTATCATGTTGATCGCATCATCACATCGAGGTCCGCAAAGTGGAAGCCAATATTGGAGCGGATAATGTTCGCCGTGCAGAATGGTGGCAGCTGAGTACAGAGTGTCGACGCGTGCCATGTAGTACTTGTGACAACTGAAGGAAGTCAGCCCTAAAAATCCGGAGCCGGACCAATGCAGGTCATACCATATGAAGACAAATTTAACCAGAAACCGACGACAATCTGACGTGATAAACGATTTTTGTCTTCTCCTACCCCTTGCTGCACATTGCACATGATGCCATCTTGTGGGTCTTGAGTTTCAGTGAATGGTGACGAAGGATTCAAAGGAACCTCAGGCTGTCTCTGAGGCGGCCTGACCCGCGGCGGCTGGTATACACCAATTGCCGACTTGAATAGATACGGTGATATTGCTGTGTACTGTAGCGTGTGAGGAAACGTCTCCGGGCTGTCAATTACTGTAGTTACTGGAGGCTGTTTTGATGTTCTGAGCCGGAGCGAGGCACGAGCGTAAGCGCATCTTTGAGTGAGCGGTGAGGTCGGCACGTGACACATCTTTTCTTTCGTGTCGCCCTCCATCCACCTTTTCTCTCGGGAGGTTCGAAGAACCCCCCGAA